GCGTCGATCTCGTCCTTGATCGTGTCCAGCAGCCGCAGCAGGAACTCGTTGGCGTCCTGCATCTCGTTGCCGCGGAACGCCGGGTCAATGCTGGCGAACACCTCGCGCAGGTCGCTGGCGATGGAGGACGACGGTCAGTGCCAGGCTCAAGTACAACAGCAGCACCTGTCCAGCACACCTAATATGGCAAACAGATGTAATCATGTAGACAAGCGACTAGTCATGCCAACCATACAAAATGAGAATCCCATAAGTTATCATTGGAGCAAACACAGTGTTACCAAACATCACCTTATGTACCAGTTGCTTCACACGTGTTGCCTTAAAATAAAGAAAGCATGGTGGGAGGGGGGGGGGGGGGGGGGGCAATGACAGTAGAGAAGGCAGACACATGATGGCATGATTGCCCCACTAGCAGGCAACTTACTATTGCCCCACTAGCACCAAATAGAAAACTTTGCAGTGCTGCACTGCACCACATGAACCAATTCTGCACTAGCAGGCAACTTACTTGAGGTGGCTGGAGACTGACTTGCCCAGTGCCTTCTGTCGGAGCACCATGAGCTTTGCCACCGCACACAGCGTGCGGCACGAGCCGCCGTCGGGGCCAGAGATCAGCGCCATCATCTCGCTCAGGAACGGACGCAGGCCCAGCAGTGACTGCAGCGTGGCGTTCTGGTAGCACGAGTTCCCGTAGTTTGGCAGCCTGGGACACCAGAACAAACATTTTGTACTGATATGATTTATTCGAACAGCTTTGGGCTGCATTCAAAATGATGGCAGCCATTTTGAGTTTCATGCAGTTTTCTCGGTTCCTAATAGCAATGTTGTGCATTACAAGTGTCAGATTTCCACGGCTGGAGTATTCACAGCATTGATGACAAAAGAGATTAAGGTAATTGACCCAGATATTTTGCAACCTATCAACACATGCATTTCACAACCAGATGGTCATGAAATGTAAACACATTTCACAACTGATAAGGGCCACAACATTTAACAAACAAAACTTTCAAGTTTATGTAACACATCAGCATAAATCGACAGCACCATTTTTTTCTCTCTGCATGACGAGCCATCTTCTGCACTCACCCTATGTACAGTGGATCCTTGAAGTGCCTGTCCGTGTCAGGCCGGATGGAGGGCGGCATCTGGAGGTCGCGCGAGACCTGCGCCTTGCCGCCGTACAGCTGCAGCGCCTTGCCAGCCTCGCCGCCCTTGCGCGGCGACGGCGGCGGCCGCATCTGTTGGTTGGCGGCGAAGCGGCCGGACGAGCCGGACGCCTCGCCGTAGAAGCGGCGCGGCCCGGTTGTCGCCAGCTCGGCATTCTCCTTGCCGGCGCGCTCGCCGGGCCGCGCCGTCCGCTCGGCCGGCCGCTCCACGCGCGCCCGCTTGGCGTCCGGGCCGTGCGGCGAGCCGTCGCCGCGCCGCGGAGACGCGCTGCGGCGGCGGGCTGGCTCGGCCGGCCGGTGGGGTGACTCGTTCTCGCGCGCCCGCAGCGGCGACGGCCGGCGGCCGGGCGGCGAGTGCCACCTGGGTGGGGAGACAGGGCAAAGGTCAGGCCTAGCTGCGGCCATTCAGGTCTAGACCCACCTCCCCCCCCCCTGAATTCGGATTTGTTCCTGACCATTTGCTGGCAGAAAAACAGACATACATACAAAAGAACCTTGGCTGTACATCTACAGAACAAAAAGACAGCTAGCCAGCACATGGGACTCTTAACATAGATCTGTGTGACACACAGCTATAACATGATGTAGCTTAGCTTTGTCAAAAGCTCAATAAAATGAGTCATGATCAGACAATTATCCCCATGACTACTGCTGAATGCATAGCCACATCTTATAACATCAAAGTAGAAGCCAGTGTCCCAACCGTAAGAAGATTACATGCAATTCAATTTGATCAAACAGCAGGGTTTAACAAACCTTTCACCATTGTTGTTTTGGCATCCTTTGTTAGTATTGTGGTAGTTCACAACTGGCTTCCTCCAGCCTTGCCAACCTCTATTGCCATTGTGTTGGTAATCATTCCTGTATGTGTTGTTCTGTCTTCCTCCATATCCTGCCCTGCACACAAGGATACAAATTGGCAGGTCAGATCCAGAGCTCAACCAGTATCAAACATACTGTAAAATATGAAATCAGTCATAACCTTACTGCAGTGCATGATTAAGCCATCTTGTGATATACAGCATAATAGGCTTTCAAATATCTCCTTCATCCTCTGATCCACAAATGACAAGCTTGGGCAGACAACACACAGGTTATAAGCCTCTCCCATGTAGAAGCCCACACCCAAACTACCATATTTCATCAGTTAAAAAAAACTTACCATCCTCCATTACTCTTGTGGTAGCCACGGGCATTCGGACCCCGGTACTGGAACTTCGGCCTTTCGTTAAATGATGTTTTTGGAGAATTCCAGGATGACCAACCCCTCTTATTGTGTGGTCTTTCAACTCTTCTTGGCGACTGGAAATCGCTCCTCCAAAACGGACCTCCACCAGCCCGAGGGGTGAACTGCATGCCTGAAAATGGCAAAACCATGCATCAGCTTAGCTCATCAAAATCAGTTATGCTCTTGCATGGTCCAAACAATTGTATGTATATATATATATATATATATATATATATATATATATATATACATATGTATGTATATAATATCCAGTGAGAATGTTCCCACATAAGGAGCAGGATGGTGCAATGATCACAAAATAGCACCAGTAATTTTTTTGGTTAAACCAAGATCATAGGTCTGAGCATTAATTATGCTCAGATAGAAAAGTCATCAAGACCTGCACCTCATACAACTTGCAACACACAATCACATTCCAAATTAGTGTGGACATTCTTAAAAATGTGCCATCAAAAATGTGCTGCCCTAACAATTTTAACATCAACTACTGTGCATCAATATTGATCCCAATTGTCAGCTTTCTACTGGGCACTTATTACAAAGCCTAGCTTATGAATTGATTTAACAACTGTAGAAGGGATAGTAATGATTTGAAGGTCACTCATACCTCAGTCCAACAAAACACCCTCAAATGCATCATGAACCATGACATGAACAAGCCTGTAAGATCATAAATTTCTATCCAATATTGACCCTTCATGATGACAAACATGCTGAAACTGAAAAATCCAAAAACAGTCAGCGAGAGACCATGGGCTTCAATCTCAACATGCTATTCCATGCCAGCAGCTCTTCACATTGCAACGAAACATCATAATGCCATCCTAAGTTGTGGAGAGCCAAAACAGGCAACATACAGGTAACGCCATGAGTAGTATTTTGTGTGCTACGTATAATGTCACACCACAAGCAACATAGCTGACCACGTTTTCCCGCCCAAATCGACCAAGTGACCACCCGGCTTTTTTCGTATGGCGGAAATGGGGATAATACGGTACTATAGCACACAACATGAATGAAAAACTTACTAAAACATAACACTCTAACTATCAGACGCATGAATCACATGTGTACACTTACCGTCTTCAAATGATCACATTTACGATACCGGCGAACGGGAGCTACGCCACGGCGGGAAAACATCGGCCATTTTGCAATGTAGTGCTCGGCAACAACCGTGCCCAGTCACTACAAAGTTCCCCAGCGAAAATAAATTTAAGATTATTTTTGTGGCACAAATTGCTTAAAATGATAAATATAAACCAAATACGATAATCATGAAACTAGTTACCATGCAAACCTTTCCTTCGAGCAGACCCCGTTCCTGCATTCCCTGCTCATCACTATTTTTCTACGCAGCCTTTGGGCACGGTGCTACTATATTGAGAGCCTCGCACACATCACGCACGAGCAAAATAGGGTAGGACTTACAGTCGTACTCCAAGCAGTGAACTTCACCACGCACTTCAATCTGGAAACTTTAATGGCATGGGCGGAGACTGTTAGGCTGCTCACATACAAAATATTCAGGAATAGGACGTCTATGGCTTTCCTCAAAATTACTACGCATCGCACAACAGTGCGCTCGAAGGCCAAGCTGAACAGGTTGTCCAAAAATATTGCTACGCTCGTCACGGTACTTGCCAGCATTGCTGTTTCAATCGTACTTGGTGCATCATGATGTCGGTAGAATCGGGATCCCTTGCCAGCAGGGGCTTCAGAACACTTGTTTTTTTTTTTGTTGTTTGAATTCATCGTGGTTGAGGTGCAGATGTAGTGCAGATATAAAGTCTGCTGCAAAGCTTTCCGCGAAACGTATGCTCTTGCTGCAGTAAAAGGTGATATAGTGGAGAATTTAAACATTCTACTGCATTAGTCAGAAAGTACACGACCCTAAACAGACGATGACTTGGGCTTTCGGGCCAGCCGACTGCCCTTACCCCATGACGCCCACGGAACTAATCTTCTCCGCGCTATCGTCGCAAGCGCCGCTCGAAGATCAGTCAACACGGACGGAAGAGCCGTTCGAGGTATTCTGACTAATGCCTTCATCTGGCGTGATACGACCTTACATTACCGGCGGTTTGGGCGACGCAGTTCCGCAAAATGGGTGCATGGGCGTGGGAGCGGGGGTCGGCGGTGAAAGTGGCAAAACCTCCCCAAATAAACCGGTGGGTTTCCTTCCGGATTTGGCCCACTTTCTTCCTAAAGTTGGGGGTTGGGACTCCCTGAAAGTCAAAAGAAAACAGCCCTCGGAGGCCATTCCCGATTAGCTCAGTTGGTAGAGCGCTGGCCTCATAATGATAAGACCCTGGTTCGTACCCTGCAATCCCAAGGATAAATTCGGATACTGACTCAACAGCGCTTAATGACGACCGGAGAATAAACTGGTCGAACTAACACCAGACGAGGACGTTAGCCCAACCAATTATTCCATTCGTGATAACATTACCTCATCTCAATTCTTCAGTAGAACTAAGATGGAATAGTTCTTTAAAAGGCGTCACCACCTGTATCAGGAGCGCGGCGCTGAAAAACGGCCCAGGACTGCGAGGCGAGACTGTATTGACAAGCACACTTGCGTGCCTCTTACACAGCCATTCATACCTGCAAAACAGCGCACGAGCAAACACACCATGCCTTCGCCACAACGACCGTGGACAGCCTATGTTGGAACAGCCTCGAACCACTCATCACTGGTTGTCTTTATCGCGACATGCCCCGTTGATGCACTGTAGCATGCCTTGACTTTCGAGAACAAGTCACTCCTCGGAGAATTCTACCATGCAGAGTTGGTTGTATGATCACAACATGTCAAATGTTGTCATTCGACTGCTCCGACCGACTACGAATAAATACCAGTCAGGAAGTTCAGACAGCTTGATTCTTAGCCAGAGCATATGACTGCGGAGCGCCGGGCATGACGGGTACTCAGTGCTGATAGCAATGGTACACTCATTAATGGCAACCCACCCTGCTGTTGTGGGGCCTGCGCCGCGTGCGGGGGGCACTTTATAACACCTGTACTCCTCACGCAACCTCCTCCGCGTATGCCTGGACCTCACGGGCTTACAACTGGGGAGCGATGTCACTGGTTCCAGGCTTGTCGTCGCCTGGCGCTGCACCGCCGCACACAGCACGTCAGCACCACCGTCTGCTAGCCTGCAGCGGCACTCTCACATCTATGGCTACAACGCTGCCCTCGGCCGACTAGTTGGCGTAGAACCAGCGGTACCAGGCCACCACCATGCGGTCCCAGGCGTTCTCCCAGCTGTCCAGCGCCGGCCGCACGTCCAGCAGCGCGAACTTATAGCTGTCGGGGTCGACGTCGCCGCCGTCGTAGTAGTCGATGACGTAGCGCACCTCCTTGCCGCAGCGGTCGATGATCCAGTCGTGCCGGTCGAATGGCAGCTCGTACCTGTCCGCCGGCCGGGGGAGCGTTAGGGCCGACCGGCGCCGTACAGGCAGTACGAACGTCGGGAAACAACAGTGAGGCTCGCTCAGCAGTCCTCAAACCAAGCCAGTTCACTCCGGTATCACCGCTGGGATAATGCATGACTTCCATCGAGGAGTTCACGGGCCATTTCCGTGTTCGAACACAAAACGGCGCTGATCCGTGTCTTTACAAAGCGCGCCCTCGCAAAACCGTCCAGCATTGGTACGAACAGGACATCGGGAAAAAGTTGCTTGCATATCGCTGGTAGAAAGCGCGCAAGTTGCAAGTTGTGCAGCTGCTGAACCATCCGACTGCAAATGTTTTGGTCGCGCCGTTGTTATAGGGCCTTGGCCGCGCCCAGGAAATCACGTTAACCTTCGATAAAATGTGGCCGATCACGGATCTAGCCAGCTAGTTTGGCCAGGTGGCCTCGATATTTCCTACGCCACAGCTCGTGACTGTCTGGCTACGGGGTCGCGGGAAATGGCGAAGGACCAGCCTCACAGCGCCTGAGCCGGGCGCCAGGCGCTGGCGTCCGTCAACATTAAGAAGGCAGACGGACGCGGCGCACGCGTGATTACCACAGTTTAATCGACAAAAAACAGGCGCAGCTGCGCGTTATCCGCCGCCCGTGAATCACCCGCCACGCAAAAAGGGCGTGACTACCGCACGCGCCAGCGTACCCGAGCCAGTTTCTGAACCTCGCGCGTGGCGAGTAGTCTGACGCCTTTCCGCCGAAGCGCTTCAGCTTCGGCTCGCCACACTCGTGCGCGTGCAGCGCCTCCCACTTGAGAATCTGGCGAAGGAGAGCGGGGTGTGAAGCCATCACGACCCTGTCCAGATTCGGGATGATGTCACGCAGGCGAGGCCACTATGAAAAGCCTTTATTGACCTCTCCCTTGCAGTGTCTCAAACCTCTTCCAACAAACTCTGCATCAACAACCAATACTAACATCATAGGCACAAGCAATAATGTAACAAGGCTGGCTTCACAAGGCTCTCAACTTATGCAGTATTATGTAGTCGCGCCAGATGTGACAGATGTGAACGCGAAGACGCTGGCTTTTGACCAGAAGGTGTTGTGCAAAATCAAAGGAAAGCACTTCCCATTAAATATTGCAATACCTGCATGTTGGATACCATATTTCTGAAAGAAAAAATACACACACGCTCCGCGCTTCATACAACTGCCCGCGCTAAATGGCCCAACAGCTCAAAGTTGAGATGGTAGTCACCTCCTGCCACGCCAGCTCATTATTGACGTTGTGGATCCTGATGATGTTGTCCATGTCCTTCTGGGAGAGATCATCCTGCTTCCAGCGCCAGCCTTTCCGCAGCATGGCGTTCCAGAACATCTGCAAGGAAAACCGAGGGAAACGCTACTTCACTGCAGTCCCCTGACGGGCCGGATGAGAACATAAGCTCAGCCTAAGCGTGAGAGAGACATTGCAATTCGGTGCCCCCCAAAACGATGTACTTCGAGCAAGGCAGCCCTATTTGGTGATGTCGCTACGCCATGACTATGACAATACAGCTACTATGATAGCTATACGATTCACGTCGAGCGCACATTCATAACAGAACGTAGGAAAACAGTTGTTCACGCTACTTGGACAGCGCCAACCGTCGGCGAGGACAACCGAACGACCAGCACGCACGCCTCACGTTGCACCGTGCTGGTGCACGCAGTCGCGCACGTCACTGGATCGGGACCCGCCCGTTTGCCCCCCACCGCCTCCGTCCAGGCTGGGTGCCGGCGTGGCACAGAGTGGCTTGGTGACTACATCACAAACTTACATGAGGCCTAATACTGGTGCAAATAAAATGATCAGTTAAGTTATCAGGTTTCATGGCAAAACTCTTCCTGGCCCCAACCTGGCCAGAAGGCAGTGGTCCCCGCCCGAAGAGTGAAAGCAGTGACCTGTGGCGACGGGTAGACCCAGTTGGACGTCTCCTCGGTGGCGCGCGGGATGTTCGACACCTGGCGCTCCGTCGACAGCGGGAACGGCTGATCTGCCGCCGGCACCTGGTTAGGTGGCGCCTCCTGTCGGGCACGCCGGGAACTACGTCAGCCCGCGAGCATGGTGCGCGGATGTAAAAACAAAACGCCAAAACGCCTTAACATATTTATAGTTAACATAAAGCACAACCATTTTGAAGCAGACCAGCGGTTGCTGACTAGCCCACAAGCCAACTTCTACGTTATGTTGGTATCACATGTGAAGCAACAATGCAGGACTATTCTATTTTAGTCATAACCTTTTGCATGCTTTACAAAAAATAACGGGCGTCTTACTTCATCCCATTGAACAGTTACAACACATTGCTAGACATACGCCGAGAAGTGAATGTTTTAATGTCATGAACGAATCAGGATTACGTCGCCCGCAGAGCACCACAGCAAACGCAGTCGCTCGCTGAGAACAGCCACGGCCCAAGATCGGAGGCGCCCAGGCGGCGCGGCGGGACTGCCGCACCATGTTGGAGGGGTCGATCTGGAGGACGGCGCCGGCGCGGTCGGTGACGATGCCATGCTGGTGAGGCGGCAGCGCGCCACCGGCCGACATGGGGCACTCCGGTGGCAGCGGGCGCGCGCCGCCGGCCCCGGCCGACATCGGGCACTCGGCCGGCAGGTAGCGGTACGGCTGGGTCGCGCCGCCGCCCGGCTCCGCCGCCGTCGGGGCCAGGGCCGGCGCCTCGTCTGCCGGAAACAGACGCCGGTCACGAACTGCTCTATAAGAGGGGGTGCGGGAGGGGAGGGGGAGGGAGACGAGCGGACCAGATTTGAAACAGTACCGCAAACCGGTGTTCATTTCCTCGCAATTCCATTCGAACGAATGACGAAACCGTGCTGTTCTGCGTGATGGCTACAGACGTTGCCCTACACCAAATGAGCAGAGTAGCTCGTTTCGACGTCCAGCTCTACTGCAGGCCAACATGCCAGGGCTACGGCGGCCTGCCCGGCGCAGTCTGCTTCGGCGGTCTACCCCGCGCAGTCTGCTTCGGCGGCCTACCCCGTGCAGTCTGCCTCGGCGGCCTACCCCGTGCAGTCTGCTTCGGCGGCCTGCCCGGCACAGTCTGCCTCAGCGGCCTGCCCGGCGCTGCCCGGAGCAGCCTGCCTCGGCGGCCTGCCCAGCGCAGTCTGCCTCAGCGGCCTGCCCAGCGCGCTGCCCGGTGCAGCCTGCCCCATGTCGTCGCCTGACCTGAGCCGCCGGTCGCGGTCGCCGCCGGCTGGATCAGCTCACTGCGCAGCTCCGAGGCCGTCCGGATGGCGGCCGTCGAGGTAGCGTTGCCCATGACCGCGCGGCTGGAACAGACCACCACGTGAGAACGGCGCGGGCGTCGGAGCCCATCCACGGCTGTCGGCAGCGGCACAGCAAGTGTGCGCTACATACGTATGCGCGGTGGCGGCTGCTGCTGTGGACCTCCTGGCTGGTTTTGCATTATCGGCAGAGGGACAGAACAGAGAAAATGTCAGCAAGCACGAGCAATATTTTATTAACGCGCCTCCCAAGCCGCTGATCAACTGCGGAATGGTCAACAGGTCAGCGCAGCACGGCCATGTTGCCGTTGCCACCACTTTGGACGATACAGATTGCACGTGTAGCCCATAACTACTTGAACTCGGCAACTCTCTACACATGCGACGGTGGTCTGCGTTCTTTTGAAATTTGCGAGCGCTTCGCGTGCTTCCTTTTATGACCCGGTAACAATACAAGAATGATGCGAGCCCAGCATATATTGGCAAGGAAGCTACAAGCTCTAGGACAAATATGTTCACTGGAAGATCCGATGCCCTCCCACCATCAGGTAATCAGCTCGTACTAGGTACCTTTTCCATAACGCCAATGGCACAATCGCATGCTTACTGGTTACGCTAGACAAATGCTTCGCCTACAAAAAACCACATCCACACATTTGTTAAAGGCATCTGTTAAACGTACATCTCGTTGCAGTGCACAATGACATGAATCATATTAAACACTGTCTTTCTGATCGATAAGCGGCATGAGTAGGTGTCAGAATATCAACCTGCCCAAAACAGAGGCTGTCCGCAACGCGCAACCCTGGTCTGCGATATGCAGCATCAATGTTCAGAACATGGCTGGAAATTGCTAAATAACTGGAATTCATCCCCATTCACTTAAGATCAAACCCTACGACCAGGCAAGCAAGACATCACCTTTTTCATACAACATAGTATCATCCACCAGCTACCCGAGCTTCATTGCAACGGTGACTGTTATATCAAACAGAACCGCTTCGTTGCCCACGGCGCTATGTTTTGTCTGGCAATCTTGACCTGACCTGACCATCACCACCAACAAATCAGATACCTGCCGGTAAACACCCATTTAACATCACACCGTGCCGACCAATCACTGCCGTTTGCCCAGATCGGCCATCAGCTGGCTCCAGGCGCGCTCCACCTGGCGCTGCGTGTACTCTGGCTCCCAGAGCGTGCTCAGCACGACGGTGGCCGCCTCCACACGCCGCGCGTTGCTCATCTGCGCGTCCAGTCGGCGCTCGGCCTGCTCCCCGGTGACGCCATCACGCTGCACGGCGCGACGCACGGCCTCCTCGCGCGGCACCAGCGTCACCCAGACCTCGTCGCAGAGCTGCGCGTCCCAGCCGGCCTCCAGCAGCACGGCCGCGTCCAGCACGGCCACCTGGCCGGCCGGCAGCGCCGCCAGCCGGCGCTCAGCCAGCGCCGCAATCTCCGGCCATACGCAGTCGGTGAGCTGGCGCAGCGCGGCCGGCTCGGCGAACACGCGCGCGCCCAGCCGGCGCCGGTCGATGCGGCCGTCCTCTGCCACGATCTCCTCGCCGAACAGCTGGCGCAGACGCGCGTGCGCCACCGTGCCGGGCTCGTAGGCCTCGTGGCCGAGCCGGTCGCAGTCGACGACGTGCGCACCGAGCGCAGCCAGCCGGCGGCAGACCGAGCTCTTGCCGCTGGCGGCTCCGCCCGTCAGGCCGATCACGTACGGGCCGCCGGCGCGGCGCGGTACGCCCAGCCGCGGCCGTCGCACCGCGCCCAGCCGACGCATGCGCAGCGAGCTCGAGCTCAGCTTCGTCTCCTCGTGCTCAGCGCTGTCGGTATCGGCCAGCAGCGGCACCGTGTACACCTGCATGGGCGGCAGGTGACGGCGCCGCCGCTCGGCCGCCACGCGCTCGGCGCCGCCGGCTGTCTCTTCGCTGACCACGAGTAGCTGCAGGCTGGGGTCGTCGGCGGTTGGGCCGAACGGGTCGGTGATGGGCGCCACGCGCGCCGCCACCGTCTCGTCCAGGTCGGCCACCAGGTCGGCAACGCCCTGAACGCGCTCCAGACAGGGCGCGATCAGCTCGCGCAGCGTCTTGCCGGCGTTCATGGCGTCGTCGGTGACGCCGACGGTGAGCTCCTGCGAGCAGTGCAGCAGGCCGGCCGTCAGCAGCAGCTTGTGGCCCGTGTGGATCTGGTCGAACGTGCCGCCTAGCGCCACCTTGCCGAACACGGCGTCGGCCGTGAGAGCGTTGGCCGGCTCCGACTGCGGGCTCAGCCAGCGCCGCGGCTCCTCGTTCACGCCACTGCACAGGCCGGCAGCCTCCTCCTGCACCTGGCTCCTGCAACTGCAGCGTCACCGTCTCCAGCTGCGGCGAGCAGTTGGTGACGTGGCGGGCGGCGAAGTCGGGCAGGCCGGCGCACGGCCGCTCCAGCAGCAGCACGTCGACGGGCGCGGCCGTGGCGGCCGTCAGCGCGCGCCGCTTCAGGTGCGTCAGCAGCACGCGCACGTCCAGCTGCGGACACGCGCTCGTCGACTCGGCGTAGAGTCGGCTCACCACGTCCCAGTAGAGGAGCGGCGAGAACGGCGACAGCGCCGCGCCGCGCGACAGCGTCTCCTGGCCCGGCAGCAGCTGCACGTACAGCCGGCCGCTCACGCGCCGCGCCGCGCTGCGCAGCAGCTGGCGCAGCTGCGGCGCCAGCTGACCCAGCGATGACGTCAGCACCAACAGGCCCGTCGCGAACATGACCGCGCTGCAGCAAGGAGCGCTCGTTAATTACCCGGCGGCCCGACGGAAATGACGGCGCTTGGCCTGATTTACCGTGCCCAACACCAAAGAGCACGCAGGTAATTAACTAACGCTCCTTGCACATGTTTCCTTGGGAGTAGCAAAATCGTCAAATTTAAAGTTTTCAGACAGCACTCTTCCCCTCTCACAGGATGGTTATTTTTGTTTCATTCCTAGGCAGCTCCTTGTTCTTTCATTCCCACTATGAGGTAAGTAATCCTTCTTGTTTTGATCCTTGCTGAAGAACCAAAGGGGTGGAGCCTCTGTGGCATACTTTTAACAAAGTCTGTATTTGCATGCTTGACATCACATCTGTATGTGACACAAAGTCTACCTTGAACTGAAGTGCCAATTATCCAGGTGATATGCTCATATCCTCTGTGGGTGGGATGAAAGGCTTTCAGGGCTCCACTTCCTATGCCCAGATTGTGAACCACTGCAAGCACATTGCAAATGCTCAGTTTGTTTCCTTGCTGTTTTTTTTACTCACCAAGTTTCATCACCCTAAGGCAGCTCCAATCAAGAGGTAGCAACAGGAAGTTGGAGGATTTATAGACATTCCACTTACTGTGAATTGTATGAGACTGATTGCATGTTTCATGGCCTGAAGGCCATTGTGCCTAATGCTTTTATGCCCAATATTGCCTTCTGGATACCACTGCATTCATTTCTTTGAGGGATGCAAGGTGGCACAAATGACACAAACTCATAGCTGATACTCAGAACTGAACATGCACAATGCAATCAAAGTATACAAATCAGGGTGCCTGATGGGCATAGGAAGTGAGAGCCTCGCTAATCTACACACCGGTGCAATTCTAGCACTTGTTTCTCATCCCCTGACAATGTTATAAGCCAATTCAATTCACCTACTTTGTTTTTCACATTTCCATATATGGTTTATCTGATACCTAGGTGGCAACACAGGCTGCTTGCTAATGGGCATCTTAGTCTGGTGGATGCAAGATTTGTGCTCTTAGATATCAATATATGACTCCTAATGGGAGCAGCAAGCCTCAAGCTGTTGCACCTTCTGGCTTTATTTTGCCCTGACACAAAGAGGCAAAATAAGCTTTTCCAAAAACTGTTCTTGTTGCAACCTGATCAAGTACAAGATATTTCATTTTACCTAGTCACAATCCTGGAGTACAAAATCTCCTGGTATACATAATACCAGGAAACATTTATTTTTCCAACACTGCTAACCATTCCCCTTTTTCAGCAACCTGGCAAAATTAGTTGCCAATTGATCTAAAGGCATATCATAAATATGTTCACAGAAACTAGGTGTGAATCAATATATTTCAACTGCACTGTACATAAATTCAATGCTTTCATCTATGGCTCACTTCCAATGACAATCGTGTCAACCTTGGGCATTAGCTTCAAATCAAAGGCTGAATAATGTGTCCAGGGTTGCTGTGACTAGCAACAAGTAGTGTCACATCCATGAAAAATATACATACAAACTGTATACCAAGTGTTACATAACCTCCTTGACACTTGTTCACCCTATCATGTGTAACTTTGCATGTAACCAAACAAATAATGCCCAGTGCACCATATTAGGCCAGGGAAACAGTGATTTGGCCATGTACACCTCTACTTACACAGAAGCTCTGGATAAGTCAAATAAAGCACAAACCATGAAAACTTAAAGATGTGTTAGTGCAGAAATAGATCAGTGATGCAAGCTTGCTGTGGTATCGCAGCATATATTGTATATGGTCATGTATCAACATATCAACATATATGGTCATACATATGAAGTGCACAGGCATTGATGGCATGTGCACAGCCACCCCTCGATGCCAGTAGATGCAGGTGAATCAATTACCATGGCCACTAGAAGTTGTGTAAAAAGGACACCACCATCACCGAACCAATGCTGCTTTAAAGGCTTGCTCGTTATCACGGTTACTACTTTATAAGAAAGCAACTCACTAACCTCGGGTAATTACTCAACAATTGCACATTCATGTGGGCTGTTTCGAGCTTGCGCCGACATTATCGAGGAAACTATCGACGTACCAAAAGGCGATGCCTTACCTTCTTAGACACTAAGGTATGGCTGTGGCTTGCAGCCCAGAAAATGTGGACTTGACTTGGGTATGCACCTGGTAACAATAGCGTCCAAAGCCTGCACAACTCCCCCTCCTATCCCGACTCCAATGTTACGTAAATTAGGACCGTGGCCTCTCTATGGCTAGATAGATCCTGCGGTTCGCCGCTGGTGCGCCACTGTGCACGCGTGCCAAGGCGGAATATAAGGGGAGGGATTAAATACTGACCGAACCTATTAACATCCCCATGCTGCAAGCGTATGGCACAGATCAACACCAAGCCTCCATCATTCGATGCCACTTGGTCAACAACCTTTCCAAAAAAAAATACGGTGACCTTGGATCAGGCTAAAAGAAAACAAAAATACTAAAAAGGGAAAAGGGGCTGCGGCCAACTCCATGCCATAAGTCTTTGCCGGCGATTAGCGCAAAACCTTTACCAATTGCTGTGCCGCGGTCAACAACCTATCATCTCCAGAACATGGTGACCGCGGACCAGGTCAAACATCACCAAAAAACGGCCGAAATTATCTGAAATTAGTTTAGAGACAGCCCATGCTCCGATCCTATGGACCCGATCGGTACAAAGCCTTTACCAGTCGATGTGCCATGGTCGACCAACTGTTCTTTCCAGAACATGGTGACCTTGCTTGCGGTCAAAGGTCATCATAAGCAGCCGAAACCACCTGAAATCAATTTGCAGACAATTCCATACCCGAGCCTTACCTGAGACGGCTTGGCACAAAATCTTTACCAGTCGATGCGCCACGGTCAAAAACCTATTCTTTCCAAACCACAGTGACCTTAGTCCTGGTCAAAGATACCCAAAATGGCGAAACCCACCCGAAATTATCAAAAATGTTTAGGAGTAGAGGTGATTCCGCTCCAAGTAATGATTGCACATCAACTGGCAAAGGTCATGCTGATCAGTGCCGTAGGCTCGGAGCATAAGGTGTCTGCTGCCTATGTCGGTGGTTTGGGGCGTTTTTGGCGACTTTGACCAGGCCCAAGGCCACCATGTTCTGAAAAGGATAGGATATCGACTATGGCCGATAGTTTTGTGAATGTTTCATGCCGATCGGCGGACATAGCATCGGAACATGGGCTTTCTGCAACCCTGTTTTTCCGGTTTCTGGTACTTGATGATCTTTGACTTGACCCAAAGGTCACCATGTTTCGGATGAGATGGACTTTTGACCAGGCGGCATCCAATGGCAAAGATTTGGTGTCGATCCCTGTCATATTCTCGGAGTATGGGGTCGCCAATAGGTTTGGTCAGCCGTTTAGTCCATACCTGTGATTGGTCGCCCATCGTGTGACTATTATGCGACGTTGACGTGATAACGTGGTGGCATGACAATTTGGGCGGGTGGCGGTATCGGGGAGGTACTGAACTGGGGGTCCGGGCTGTTGCTCAACCGTTTTTGCACGAATATCAATGAAGCTGGCATAAGAAGTCTAAACTGTTTCCTCACTTTTCTGACCGTTTACTAAGCATACTTTTTATTGTGTTGTGTGCAAAAGCTTGTCTTGAAAATGTAATGTTTCTGTTGTCACGTGTGTTTTACGGGCAGCACGCTTCGCAGAGTGGCTGTTTTTGGTTCCTCAGACAATTGCTTGCTTCAGTTTGCTTGCTTGGGTATTCCAAGACCATGGTTTCTGAGCACACGATTGGCCATTATGAACTAGCAGGTCAAATGGTATAAGATAAGCAGTCAACAAAAGTTGTGGGCAGAAAATGCCATGTCAGTTAGCAAGGATTCCACTAGCATGAAGTTACATTTACATCCTGCACACCCAGTTGGATTTAGTTTGCATGAGATACCCTGCCAATGATCAATATTAGCTAAGACTCTAGAGGGAGTCCCAGGAACAAATTTACCAAGTTAGGATTGTAGATTCTTTAGAGTCCTGGTTCTTTTTTCATTCTTTATTTTTCAACTAGACCTTTTTCTGGACTTTTGTTAAATGATCTTCTATAAGCTAGATCTAAATTTTTATTTCTTGTGAAATGGCTGTGTGAAGGTTTCTGGGAAAGTCTTATGAGATGTTTATGTCAAAGTTCCTCATGGATCTTAAGAGATGTTGTGAATCCGTGCTTCTGGATCTTCTAAGATCCTGGGCTCACTTTAATTTTACCAAGTGATCTTTCAGAGTACATTAATAGAGCCTACAAAAGTTTTCATATATGAGTTTGAAAGTCATACCAAGTGTGGTAAGTTGTTGAATCCACAAATGCTAACATCAACAAGTAGCACTGTTTAAAAGATTGTGAATACTATGCCTTTTTCTTGCATATTTAAATGTCATTAAAGCTCTCACTGGCACTTAAGTTTTAGCTCAGTAGTAAAATTATGTGAAGTTTAGCTTTGGGCATTGAAAAGCATATTTCTAGTGCTGTTCATCAGGTTTTGGCACACCAAACTGTTATTTCCTTACCTCAGTTTTTAGGTAAGTTAGGATTATATAAGCATAGTGACTCAGATTGGGTTCCTATATTATAAGAAAATAAGCATCTGTTATCATAAAAACAACTGGGTTATTCCACACCAACTCAACCAGTTGAGTACATTCTACCATTTCAGATCTGTGCAAAATTCGGTCCTAGACATAATCTTGAGATCCAATTATGATTCTGTAGTTATTAGACCTTTGTGCCCAGCTGTTCTCTGTTGTTGATGATGTCAGGAAGTACATAATGATGGAAGGTCTCTTAATAAAATGGTGGTGAGTGTGAAGCCATCACACTTTTGGTGTCTTAAAATGACAGTATGTAGTTCATGCATGCCCAAGTGAGAGTTGAAAGGAAAATTGAATGTCCTGCACAGATGCAGAATACTATTCTTTCCAATGCAGGGACCCAATTCCTCATTTGATGATTCCTAAAGTTCTAGAAGCCTTTTCAGAATTGGCACTGAATACTACTTAGGAAACTGTCGATAGAAAAGTGGGGACCCATTAAACACCGCTGCGGTGCAAATGCGATCATAGCCAGGCGGACGGGCACGGTGCGGCGCGCTGGCCGGCCGGCCGGCCGGCCCCATACTATGCCCAGACAGGATGACGCGGCATTAGTGCTACGGCAATACTGTATGGCAGGAGTGCTACGACCTCAGTGAAATGCAGCATAGTTCTGCAAGAGGCTGTCCAGACATTATGTTATATG